ATGAACGGCTACATTCGCATAGCTAAGGTAGCTAGGCCTGATCCTGTACTATTATATATGCTCGGTTCCAAAACCAGCTGCCCACAGAGATAAGATACCTTGTTTTGTCCAAATTTTAAGGCAGCTTCACCTTTGTGGAGAAGGCCATTTCAGAATGCATTCTGATGAACTGATATGTGAAAACATATATTTATAAAATGTTATTTTATTTAAAAAAGATTAAATAATGAAAAATATTGATAAAAATAGTTGTGTAATTACAAATGGATTATTTTACAAAATATTTGTGTGTGTGCTGTGTATATTTATGATTACTAGAGTATCACACCAACTTAGCAAACTTTATTGAAATCAATTGTTAGTGTGTGCCAATGTGAAGGTTCCCAAAACAGTCACTTATAAAATAATAATTCTATGTAGGCAGCAAGCAAGGCAACATGTCTAATGTCAAATACTTGCAGCATAGATAATTTCTCAACTCTGGGAACTGTCTCTTTCATTCTTTCTTTACAGAAAATAGCTTTCAGGGAAGCCTCTCAGCGATCCAAAAAAGCTGTATTTTCAGTGGAAGAGGAAGCAGGGCAGTTGAGGGAAACAAATGGAGACATATACAGAGAGGTAGAGCTTGGCTGGAGTGAGTGGGAAAACAGTACCGTGTTCGTAATACCGGAGACAGCGAGGCCATCACATCTGGATGCACCTTAAGGGTACTGATCCTGACACCGCCACCCTGGGGTCAGTGTCAGATCTACATGATGGGGACACCAGCACTCTAGACTCCAGCAGCGAAGACACTTTAAAGGTCCCATGGCATGAACATTTCACTTTATGAGGTTTTTTTTAAATATTAATACGAGTTCCCCCAGCCTGCCTATGGTCCCCCAGTGGCTAGAAATGGCAATAGGTGTAAACTGAGCCCTGGGTATCCTGCTTCGCCTTTGAGAAAATGAAAGCTCAGATGGCCCAAAAGGGAATAAATCTGTTTGCAAAATGTTAAAATAGAAAATACAAGTCTTTTTTGTCCTAATTTTTAAATTTGGTCATTTTAATTTATTTGACAAAGTGATTCTGTGCATTTTAACAGCAACAATGTGATTCAATTCCAACAAATAAAATAAGTTAACTTCAGTCAATCTTTGGATGCACTGCAATTAACAAAGAAAACATTACAAAATAAATGACTGAAATCAAAATGAATCATGCAAGTTTTACATGCTTCTTTTCAGGAATATCTGAGAGGGAACAAGTGTAAGAAACATCCTGGCAGAGATGGAGGCTGACTAGATGTTACATAAGTTAAAACTCTTAATAATTTTTTGTTAATAGTTATGATTAAAACTAACCTGTAGTCCATTGACAGAAAAAGTCACTACTGAGTGTCCCTGCAGATAACTTTCCTCAAGTGTTTGGTAATTTAGATGTCAGTTTAAATGTCACTTGAGCAGAAAGCAATAACATACATTTTTTCCACACTCTTTGGCCAGTACACACTATATTCTCCAGCAATTGTGAAGTTGCTTTTGCACTGAGAGCAGTTTACTTGCTGCAAGTCGCCAAAATCGCTAGACAAAACACCTACAGGGAAGAGCTACACATCGTATGCACTTCAATTTACTAGCACTGCATTAACGATTATCTGCAGTGTGTACGGCCTTTGGAAAGTACAGTAGAGTGTCATTCTGTATGTAAACAAAGTTGCCGAATATGGCTGCATTCTAATGAAAAAATCAATAATTGCCTTCAAATATCTACATTAGGAACCGTAGCATTGTCTTTCACAATTGCATAATGCTCAGGCTGCTTATCCCTGAATCCAACCCAACAAAAATTCCAGCTCTGACACTGGGACCGCTGGAGGTTGAGTAAAGCTCATTCAATTCTGAAAACGAGGAAATGTTGGTAGGGCTACAATTCTTTAGTGTGCATGTAGGGAAGAGCGAACCAAACATACAGTACAAAGTACGAGTGTATTTTTGTGTTTGTTGGTATGAGGTCAGTGCAGTGTAGAGTAGCGCTTGTTGTTTGTCATTTCTCCGCTCACAAATGCAGACATGATTTTAAGTTTACGTGGCGCGATGCAACACAACGCATAAAAAGACGGTATAAGTCATTATAATCCGTAATTATGTCCCCACTGGATGCAACAAGTGCCTCATTTATAATGGGTTTTAATGTTTTTGTCTCGTTGCTAGGGATGGGTGGATCGAACCTTAAGTTTCGATACTGATGTTGTATCAAAAGGATCGAACCTCACATAACAATATCGATCCTAAAGTGCATTTTTTTAACCATTAATTTTAGTTATTTATCAAGAAATTCGGTGCATAAAAAAGCTTCCAAGTATATTAGCGAATAATTGTGTTGGATAGAACCATTTCTCCTGCTCATCGGAACACACGCAAATTATGAAAGACAGAACAAATCAATCACAGACAGCGTTCGCTGCTGACGCATAGCTCAGAGTGCTTGTTCAAATAGGGCTGCATTTCCCAAAAGCATCAGAAGCATAAGTAGATCTTAAAGGGGTCATATGATGTGATTTCAATTTTTCCTTTCTCTTTGGAGTGTTACAAGCTCTTGGTGCATAAAGAAGATCTGTAAAGTTGCAAAGACTAAAGTCTCAAAGCCAAAGAGATATTCTTTATAAAAGTTAAGAGTCAGCCACACCAACCTAAAATGCCTCGTTCTAACACGCCCCCACATATCTACATCACTATGTGGGAAGATTTGCATAACGCCGCCCAAATGTTCCCGCAAAGAAAGAAGGCGTAACTTTTATTCCGTGAATGCGCTGTGTGATTTGTTGTGAAAGCGAAACTACTTTGTTTGGTCTTCCAAAAGAGGATGATATCTGTTTTGTCATGCCTGGAGCTGATCCATGCTGGTTGCTGAGGAAATACTACATATAATACTAATACAGCCCGCAGCCTCTTCTCACTCAGCCCGCCGCCTCTTCTCGAAAAAGGCCGTGGTTGACGCTGTGTTTTGTTGTGAAAGCGAAACTACTTTATGCCGGCTGTTCTGACTCAAAGACTGTAAGTACGTTTTTTATATTTAAAGAGTTTTTATATTTTATATATTTAAAGCAAGTTTTTGGGGCAGTGTAGAGTAGGGCTTGTTGTTTGTCATTTCTCCGATCACAAATGCAGACATGGTTTTATGTTTACGCGGCGCGATGCAACGCAGCGCGTAAAAAGACAGTATAAGTCATTATAATCCATAATTATGTCCCCACTGGATGCAACAAATGCCTCGTTTATAATGAGTTTTCATGTTTTTGAATCATCGCTCCGGCCTGACAGGGCATCATCACAATGTGGTGAGGGGCGTAACATTTCCGTCACATGCTTGAGGAATTCGGCCAATCACAACGCACTGGATAGCTGGCCAATCACTGCACACCTCGTTTTCAGACCGATGAGCTTTGTAAAAATCAACGCGTTTCATAAAGGCGGGGCATAGAGGAGCAACAATAATGTACAGTATGTGGAAAATAAT